TTTAGTGTGTGTGTGTGTGTGTGTGGCCAGCTCAGCCCACCAGGGGGCGGGGCTGGCTGGCATGTGGTGCTGGGGGATTGAACTGCAGTCCCTGTGCTTTGCTAAGCTTGTTCTAAGTAGGTGCTTTAGACCACTGAGCCATCTCACCAGCCCTAGCCACCCAGATTTAGAAAGAACAAGACAAGCCACTGTCCCGGGACTCAAGTTGGAACAGCAGGTGCTCACCACTGTCACCTCACCCTTTGTCACCAAGGGCAGAGGCATGGCCTTCGAGGTTCTGCTCAGTGGCAGACAAATGATTCACCCTGAGATCCTATCAGTCAAAGTTCAAGGGATTCCAGGAACCACAGTGTCCAGCCCTAGCAACTCCTGCTGGGCGGGGCTGTTTGCTCCGCCATCACCTGCAGCTGTGGAGTCCTGTCACCCTGCCTGGGCCTGCTTTCTGCACAGTATGGTGGCTACGGACTGTCAGACCCCTAACTAGCCTTTTCTTTTTAAATGCGGAGGGGGTGTATCAGACCAGATCCTGAGGAGCCACCAAAACCACTAGGACAGACAGGATTGAAGCCAACAGTGACATCTTTATTTCAGGCTGGCTGCAACCTGGTCAAGGGTGAGAAGGCTGTTGACCGGGAACAAAGAAAGAGAGCCAGCTTCACACTAGCCTAGGCATACGAGGGCGTGTTCACCGAGGAAGAGGGAAAAATGTAAGCGTCTCAGGGGTCAGGGGTGGGTCTGGCACCTCTCTGCGGGGAGGGAAATACAGGATGATGGTGGGATTCTGTGGCATTACTGCATGTCATTCTGTAGATTTACAGCGTTTTCCTTAAGTCTGAGGACCGGGCCTGGAAGCCATCCTGATAAACAGACTTACTCTTCTTTCTGGTTGGAGTGAAGGGGCTTTCCTGTTTGAACAGACTGGTCTGTTGAAGCTTTGTTCTCTTCAGTTTGGGAGGGGCCTAATTGTGAGAACCTAACAGGGCGCACACCTGTAATCCCAGTACTCAAGAGGCTGAGGCGGGTGGAGCCCAGTGAGTTCCAGGATGGCCTAGATTACAGAGTTTTGTTTTAATTTATGTATCTGGTACAGGGTCTCACTATGCAGCTCACTCATAGCGATCCTCCTGTTTTCAGCCTCCCCAGCATTGGCATTACAGGCATGTGCCACCACACCTGGACTCCTCGGCCTGCTCAGTGTGCCCAGGGGCGGGGCCAGTGCTGCATTTCATGCCAGGGATTGAACCCTGATCCTGGCCCTTGCCTAAGCAGGTGCTTAGTCAGCTGAGCTATCTCACCAGCCTTTTTATTTTTGAGACAGGGTCTCACTGTAATTCAGGCTGGCCTCAAACCCGCCCCTCAAACTCTGCCCCCAGAAAAGTCCATATAGCCCCAGCTCCTTTTGTCTCAGGCCAGAGGATCCATGCCACTTTCATTTGGTTCTGAGTCCTAATAAAGGCCTCTCTTCTTTTTTTTTTTTTTTGCCTCTCTCCTGCACCAAAAAACCCTAACGCTATGCAGTTCAGACTGCTCCTGAACTGGCCAAGCAGCACAGGCTGGCCTCCAGCTCCTAGGAATCCTCTTATTTCAGACCCCAGTGCTGGGATTACAGGTGTGTGACACCATACCCAGCTCTAAACTAGACTTTTAAAGTTTAGGACATTTATGTTTATCAGGGAGGTCCCTAAAGCTCAGTCCCCAGCATGCAGGACATCTTTTTTTGTTGTTGTTGTTGTTTTTCGCGGAACCAGGGATTGAACTCAGGTCCTTGCGCCTGCCAGGGAAGCACTTATTCCACTGAGCCATCTCCCCAGCCCCCTCATGCAGGACATCTTGTTCCTAAAATTTTTTTTTTTTTTGCAGAACCAGGGATTGAACTCAGGCCCTTGCACTTGCCAGGGAAGTACTTATTCTACTGAGCCATCTCCCTGGCCCCTTGTTCCTAAAAT